CCCCAAAACCCCAAAACCCCAAAACCCCAAAACCCCATGGCTTATCGAAGAAGTTGATAATATATTTAAAAAACAATGGGTTGCTGAATGTCAGTCACGCCTAATAATAGAGGCCCTAAAAAGATTAGAAGACCTCAACAAAGGCTTGAAAATGATGGTGTTATTGCTAGAGAAGCTCCACAGTATGAGGAAAGTAGTATAATTCAAAAGTAGGTTTTGACCAGCATTTGGGAAATTATAATATTCTAAACATTATAGTGAGCCGATACAAGAGGAAAGAAAGCAACCAGTCAATAGAATCGGTACCTCTAGTTTTATAATTCCATATGAGATTTTAGTCTCTAAAATTCTGTGCTTACATCTGATCTAGGTCTCAGAGTTGTCAGCAGCAATGTGAATCAAGAAGAAGTCAAAGAAGAAGAGAATTCTGTTGTTGAGCATAGGATCTACTGAGTTGAATGCGGTATCGGAATTGCAACTCAGGAGGAGTTCCTAAACCACCTCTTCTCATGTAGAGCCCAGGCGGTTCAAAATAATATTAACAACCAAATAATAGCGAAAGCTAAGGTCGAAGATGCTTCAAAATATGAAATTGAAAAGAAGAGGATTTGGTTCAGAGAGAATCTTACCAAACTTCGTGTGAGTATTCTAGAAGACTCTATAACAATAGTCATCTCTAGAGATAATGTCTTGGAGGAGACTCTTAACCAATTCTCCACAGTAGACAACCTTGATCTCCATAAAGATATAAAAATATTTTTTATTGATGAAGAAGCCAGAGATGTAGGAGGTGTCATTAGAGAATGGATCAGTATAATCACACTTGAAATCCTCAAACCTGAGACAAAAGTATTCGAAGTAGTAAATAATGGTGAAGATACTTTTTATACAATACATCCTGAAGCTACTTACGAGATGTGACATTTTGCAGGCCAGATCTTTGGCAAAGCCATTTTTGAAGGAGCCCCGCTTGACGGAAGACTCTCTAAACTCTTGCTTATGAAATTGATGCTGAAGGAGCCGACACTAGAAGACCTTAAGTATTATGATGAGCAACTGTATAAGTCTATTTCTTATTTATTCAATGATGGAGTCAATGCAGCTGATCTCTGTATGAATTTCACGATCTTGGATAATGGCAAAACTGTGGAACTTAAGCAAGACGGAGAAAATACCGAACTAACTGATGCAAACAAGGATGAGTATGCCTTACTTGTGGTGGAATACTATACCTTCAGAAGGGTGGAGACTCAAACAGTAGCATTTGTGGAGTCTTTTCTTAACATTATCCCTCATGATACTATTTCGATCTTTACTATTGATGAGCTGGACCAGGTCCTTTTCGGGCTTAAAGAAATTGATATAGAGGATTGGAAGGAAAATACCTTTTATAAAGGCAAATATATGGAAAATAGTGATCATAAAACTATCAAGTGGTTCTGGGAAATCATTTCTAGTCTGAGCAACAATGAAAAGAGAAAGTTTCTTCAGTTCTGTACCGGCTCAAGGTCCTTACCAATTGAAGGATTTAAAGGTTTGAAAGGCCAAAAGAAGCAGAACTGAAAATTTTCGATAGAGTCTGTGTCTTGCAAATAAGACTCAATTCTTAAGAGCCCATACATGATTTAATTCACTCGAACTCCCTACTTACGAGACTAAAAAAGAAGTAGAAACTGCGATTAGATATGTGCTTGATCAGAAAGAATTCTACTTTGGATTGGAGTAAACAATACACCCTCCTGACATTTCTTTTTCTGTTGGAAAAGTTCTGAAATTTTCTTAGGATGCTATAATAATCTTTATTGATAATTACCTTCAATATTTAATAACCCATAGGGGTTTTGGGGTTTTGGGGTTTTGGGGTTTTGGGG